CTTTGGCATAGAACACGTGCACATGCCAGAGACAAAGAAAGATGGAAAGTGAGAAATAAACCCCTAGGGGAAAGCCTTGCCATGATTCTTTCTACTCCATAATGATTCTCTTGGGATTTTAGGGCATTCAGACACACTCCTTGTTTAATTTTTTCAAGCAACAGGTCTGGAACTCAGAACACGGCAGTCAGCCATGTGGGATTGAGTTACCTAATTACCATGCCACTAGCTGACTCTGGAAGTAGGTATTTTTAAAGGTAGAATGGAGAGAACTCTGATAAACCCTTAAAAGAACAAATAGGGGCCAGCAGGTAGCATGGTGTTTAAGGCGCTAGACTCCCACATGGCCCGTAGTGGTTTGACTCTCAGATGCAGCAGCTTCAAACTTAGGCTGGGCACATGTGCCTGCATACTCAGGATCTCAAGAGAAGAATGGAAGAAAGGGGATTGTGGTATGGCAATACTCCCCAGGAGGGTGATTTCTCACTCTCTGTCTCTATGGCAATTTCACATGCCCTATAGAACAATCTCTCAAAAAAAGAATAAGAGTTTCACATTGTAGAAGGGTCATTCTTGCTTAGAGAATAATAAATGATGACACTTGGGGAGAAATTTGACTTTAAGCAGACCTACATAATGTTACACATTGATATCATGGACTCCAAACCTTTAACATCTGGTTCCTTAAGCCTAGAGGAAGGGAGAATGATTTGTGGAGAGATAAGCAAGTGTATGGAGAGATAACTGAGTCAGAATTTATTTGAGGCTGGGTTTTGAGCTGAATTTAATAAAGTGTTACAGGTAAACTCTAGGACAAGGTTTTCATCTTTTGAATGAAATGAAAGCTTTACATAAAGTGTATATTAAACTGTAGTCATGCACCATGTAATGATGTTTTGGTCAGCACTGGACTACAAGTACAGTGGTAGTCCCATAAGATTATAATAGGCTATATGAGGAGGTCAGGAGATGGCTCACTGGTTATGGTGCTGGACCTTCACATGGCTGGCCATGGTTCAAGTGATCAGCAACTTGAAACTCATGCTGGGCATGTGAGTATGCATGCAGAAAATTCCAGGAGGACCATGGAGGAGGAGGGATTGTGATGTGGCCGTCTCCCTTGTGAGTGATTCCTCATTTTCCCTCTCACAGTCTATATATCTCTTTCCTCTGTGAAGAATGCATGAACCCTGTGGCAAAAACCTTAAAAAGGAAAAAAGTATGCTATACTATCTGGGTTTGTATGAGTACACTGACGGAATTGCTTAGGCACAATCCTCAGGATATAATCCCATGATTAAGCAACCTATGCATATATCTGATATCAAAAGAGTTCTAGCTGGGGGAACCAGCAGTTACCGTAATGGCTATGTCGCTGGATTCCCACGTAGTCGACCGCGGTTCACGTCCCGGACCCGGCGGCTTAAACTCACGTCAGCCACGTGTACATGCGTGCCCAAGATCCCGAGAGGAGAAAGGATTGAGGCGTGACCATCCCCCCAGGGGGGTGATTTGCTTTTTTGTCTCTGTCTCTCTCTGTCTGGCGAGTGCACACGCCCTATAGCGAAAACCTCTCAAAAAAAAATAAAAAGTTCTAGCTGGGTAGAATGTCTTTCATTTGGAATTTCAATCACTGATAACTTATTTACCAAGTATTTGTTTTTCTAAGTAGGATTACTTTTAGCTTTCCACAGTGATATATGAGTTTTGGGGTTGTAGATTTTTTGGAACATTGGAGTACAATGAGTTTTCTTCATGCAGCTGCCTGTTTCTGCCATCTTTTGTTACTTGTACCTATAACATGAATACCTCATACAATGAGATTTAGTTCCTTTTGTGAACCTGAAATAGAAATTGTTCCTACCTTAACCAGACTTACTTGGTTTTGGGAGGTTTTTTGTTAGTGGTAGTGTCTTAAAATTTTGCCAAAGTGCACACCCCTCACCAAACACAGACAGAGAAAGCACCCCTTGTGGGAAATGGGCACATCACAGTTTCTTCTTTATCCCCATCCTGTCAAGATTTTGAGCATCCATGCATAAGCATTAGCGTGCCCTCCAAGTCCAGGACTCTGAACTATGTGGTTGACTGTGTAGGGTGCACGTACACCCAAAATCCCAAGAGGACAGTGAAGGAGAAGGGATTGCAGCATCACCATCCCCCTTGGGAGTAATTTCTCATGTTCTCTCTCTCTGTCTCGGGGGTGGGGGGGGTGGTGGTCGATCTCTCTTTAAAAAAAAAGAGAGAGATTGTATAGTTTTCACTGCAGTTGATACAGAGTATTTGGCATTTTTCTGAATATTGAAACAGGTTTTAGATTTGATGAACTGTGTCTGCCTTGTAAGATTAAAATGTTAAACTCAGTCCTTTGAAAGAAATTATTTGTGGTAGACAGTTAAGCATTTAAAAATAGTATATAAGGTTTCTTTGTGTTTCTGCCTAAGGAAGAGAGGATGTTTTTCTTTTTTAAAGGTGTTACTCAATAAATCTTAAATTTTTTTGTTTTTCATTTGCCAGAGTGTATGTGCTTCTCAGTAAAGGAGAAAACATCTCCCAATGTGCCATGGCCATACCTCAGTCCTTTATCCTTTTGTCCATCTCATCAGAATTTTAGGCACTCATGCATATGCACCCAGCGTGTTTTTCAGTGCACCAGGGCTAGGTATCAAATTGTGCAGTTGGCCATGTGGGATCCAACTTCTTTAACCAGTAGCCACAAGGCTAGACCATAAATCTTATTTTTAATTCTTTCTGTTGCTTTTATTCTGTAATTAGCTTTACAATGATTATAAACCTTGTCCTGGAACTATAATGTTGCCTTGTTTACAGTATTTGGCAAACAGAAACAACTTCTATATGTCTGTACTCTAATTTCTTTTTTTTTGGCGGGGGGAGGTTTTAGCTATAGGGTGTGTGTGCTCACCAGAAAGAGATAGAAAGCGAGGAATCACCCCACAGGGAGGGTAACCATTCCGCAATCCCTTCTCTTCCTTTCTCCTCTCTGGATCTTGGGCATGCATGCAGGCAGAGGGACCCAGCATGAGTTTAAACCACTGGGTCCGGGACTCGAACCATGGTTGACTACATGGGAGTCCAGTGACATAGCCATTACACCACTGCTGGTCCCTGTACTCTTAATATTTTTGTCCATAAAATTTCATAATGCCAAGTCAACTAATAAAACATTACTCAAAGGAGCTGAATGTGCTCCACTGTTTCCTCAGTTTTTTATTTTGAAAGAACCACAGAAATAGAAACACATAACCACCTCCACTGGGTTTTGTCATGCTGCGACATCTCCCCTCCTCCATAATCCTTCTACCTAGCCAGGATCACAGCATGCCCCCCAGATACCCCACGATCAGTCCAGAAACTACACCCTGGACCTTTCCATACAGCTCCAGTATTCTGTAGCAGCTTTTATTACATGCTTTATGTGTATACTTTTGTTTGCTTGCTTTTTTTTTTTTATTTGCGAGAAGACACTAGTACTCACCAGAAAGCGGGGGAAACTCCCCCAACGTGATATGGTTGGCCATGTTAGTTCTGACTCCCTTAACTACTAGGCCATGTGTGTGTATATACATACGTGTGTGTGTGTGTGTGTGTGTGTGTGTATAAATAAATTCCAGGACTATCCAAGTCCAGTTTTCTTTAATATATTCAATAATGTCAACCCACTGGCCATATTTAAATTTCCCTCAGGAAAATTTTGGGCAGGCTTACACAAGTGTCTAGCATGATTTTCAACCCACTGGGTCAAGGACTCAAACCATAGTTGACCATGTGAGAGTCCAGTGCCATAACCACCACGCCATCTGCTGGCCTATGTGTTTTGTTTTAATTCAGAGCCCATTCAGGGTTCATGAGGTACATTTGGTGGTTATATTTCTTTAATCTTAATTCAGAAGGTTCACTCAGAAGAAAACCTGCTCATGAGAACTGAATTTTGTGGGTTTAATTTATCTTGGTATGTCTTTTTTTCAGGTTTCTAATAAAATTATGTTATAATTTGAACATAGTTTAATAAAACCTTGTTTTAGAAACGATATATTGAGAACCAGCTGTGGTAGCTCATGCTGCTGTGAGGCTGTCCTCCACAGGTTGGAACCACATAGGGGAACTGGGTTCAATTCCCTCTTTAATTTAATGGCCAGGCATGGAGGCACATGCTTATAATCCCACTGACTCCAGGAGACTAAGATGGGAGGATCATAACATGGTGAGACCCTGTCTTAAACAATCAGTAAGGTACTTTGAAGACTGGCTTTGTACTCAAGAAAAAGTCTTGGCCAGGTCTTAAAATAACAAAGTCTTTAAATCACATCCTTTGTGTTTTTTTAAGAAATGTCTCTCAAATTTTTTTGTAGTTCTTCACTGACAACTTGCATTTTATTTAAAACCTATAGCATAACAGATCAATTAAAATTGATAAAAAAGCCAAAAGGATAGTGGGTTCTCCCTCAGCCTTCAATTTTTGCATAATTATCATCATTGCTAAGGAACCATATGGAAGTTTATAGACTATTTGAACCACTCCAAACTCAGAGCATTAATAGTTTATTCTGTAAGCAAATCAAGATTATGCTTTAATCTTTACTTTTCTTAGTTAAAGCTGTGTGATTTTTGACTTGGTTTTGTTTTTAATTAAGAACAATGCTCTAGATCTAAAATTTATGATTAATATATGGTAAAAATAAAGAGCATTTTTTTTAAATCACAGTAGTTTTTTTTTTTTTTTTCTTTATGAATACTTTAAATAAAATAGGAGCAACTCTGACCCTCTGTGCTTTTGTTCTTTATAACCTGTAACTTACAGTGGATATAATTTTGTATTAAAATATAGGGGGTTTTTTTTAGGTCAACAAGGGCAGACACAAGATTATTCAAAGGCTTGGGAGGAATATTACAAGAAGCAAGGTATTGTTTTTATTAGAAATGAGATTCTTTTAGGCTTTTAGCTATTGTTACAGCAACAAAGTTGTTCTGTTTTTCCAAAGGTCAAGCTGTTCCTGCTCCTACTGGGGCTCCACCAGGTGGACAACCAGATTATAGTGCAGCCTGGGCTGAGTACTACAGACAGCAAGCTGCCTACTATGCCCAGACAAGTCCCCAAGGAATGCCACAACATCCCCCAGCACCTCAGGTATAATAAATTTGCTAATGTGTTGGATTTCTACTCCAATCATGTTTTCTGCATGTTTACTGTTTGTCTGTTTGGGAGTCAATTTGCCTTTTTTATTTTTTATCTGGCAAAGTATAACTAAATGAATAATGCGGTATATTACTTAGGGGGTTTTTTTACTTGTTTTTAAATAATGCTTTCTGGCATCTGAGTGCTGAATATTTCTACAATGCCTTTGATTTTAAAAATAAATTTTCTTCCCCCAGGGATTTGCAAATCATGCAAGAAGCCACCACCATTTATATTAACCAGTTTTTCTTTCTTAAAGGATTCACTCCTGAATTAGCTCCATTTAAAGGATTTTCTTTAACTTTTTGTGTATTTCTTATGTATCTCTTCTGCACAGGGCCAATAATAAGAAGTGGACAATACAGTATTTGCTTCATTGTGTGGGGGAAAAAAACCTTTGTTAAATATATGGATGCAGACGACTTGATGAAGATCTTAATTTTGGTTTTGGTTTAAAATAGTGTTTTTTTTTTTTTTTTTGAAAATGTACAAAATATCTATCACTACTGATAGGAGGTTAATATTTCTGTGTAGAAATGAAAATTGGTTTGTTTTTAGTATTTAGTGTAGATGTACACATTCCAGCAATGTATTTGCAACTATTATGTGGTCAATGCTTTGTGATATAAATGTACTTTTTCAATGTATACTTTCACTTTTAAAATGCCTGTTTTGTGCTTTACAATAAATGATATGAAACCTCCTGTGTCGGTAAGTTGGATATGTGGGTATTTAAAGGATTCGTAATTTCTTAGCAATGATAAATTAAGTACATATACACAAATATATATAAGTTTTCCCCATGAAATAGTGAGTTTTTAAACACTGGCATGTTTTTTTCCCGTTGCAGTATAGTGATAGATTGGAGGATCTTTTTCCATTTATTATATTTGGCTATTGTAGCACAAGTAATCCTGATATCTTTGTTTTTTTTTTCCTTGTGTTTGATTAAAAACTGCATGTGTGTACAATGATCTTTGGCATCCTTCCATTGCATTAACAGTGAAATTTCCTTTTATACATGACCACTGTTTCAGACCTCTACTGCTGCTATAACAGTTAACCTTTCTGTTCTTAATTTGATAATTACTTGATTTCCAAGACTGTTTCAGCATAACTAATTTTTAAACAGTTTTCAGACAGTGAATATGAGTAGTCTAATAAGAACAGGGTTTTTGTTTTGTTTTTGTTTTTGTTTTTTCGTGTAAAGCAACTCTTAATGTATATAATATTAGTGTGTTTCTTTTCAAATTAAAGGTAGAAAGTGAATAGTATGCAAAAAGTATAGCAACATTGCATCTGCCATTGAAACATAATTTGGGTATGGAAAAGTTCAAGCTTCTTTTTTTTCTTTTTGCAGTATAGATAAGCTTTGTTTTGTAAATGCACAAGTCCAGTCATTGAATCAACTTAATTTTTTATGTATTTGAAATCATTTTATTACTCTTTAACACTCATGCTGAAGTTCTGATATTTTGTTGAAATCCATTGTTTTACTCTTTGCATATTTGTTGGCTCTTTGCATATTAATATATTAGACTACATGCAAATACAGTCTGTCTTGCCATTGTCTGTTGAAGTGCAGGTTTGATCCAGCCAGTATAGAACTAGCTCTGTAGGGGTGAGGAGGACTGTGCTGTGTATCATCCTTGATTGTGTTCCTTCAAGGAGCATTGCACTGTAAGTACATCAGAATGACAAATTGATGAACTGCAACAGTATCTTTTTGTCAATGTTCCACATAATGCAAATGCCATACTTTGTGTGAATATTATGTTGGAATACAGTGCTGATATCTTGGAAAACCATAACTGCTTCTTAATTTAACATAGAATAATACATAGTTTTGTATTTTTTTTGAAGTGAGCTTAATGGGTAAGTACTTTGATATGCTTTAGCTATAGCTAAAGAAAACTGATCAAAAAAAGTTGAATAGTATTACTGGTGCTCCTTAAAATATTGTTTTTCAGCGTAAAATATGCATATCTTATATATTAATACAAAAGACTTGAAATGTATCAGAAGTGGTTTCTAGTTTGCAAATGATGAGCAATGTAGCAGTTTTAACACCATTTCATAAATATATATTCTGTCTTTGGTAGAGAGCACCATTTGCTTTGAATATGCTTAAAGGAAGATGTACAAGGACATAAATGTTGAGATTACCTACAGGGTAGAAAGTAGCAGTATAGTTCATTGTAGATATTTTCAAATGTTTTTGATTGTTTATATAACCTAGAGTGACTTCCCTTAGCCCTATTTAGATCTGGATATATAGTTGTAGTCTGAAGTTTATAATTGAAGTTAGGGATCTGTTATCCTTAAGATAGGGAATTGACGTGAGCAATTTCAGTATTTTGCATGATACTGTTATATAGATGATCTTTTAGGAAAGTAGTGCATTTATTAATTAAACTGAAGAAATAGTTCAGTTGGATCAGTATCATAACTCACAAATTGGAGGCTGTTGATTTTGATTCATTTAAAGTTTAAAATCTTTATTAATTGCAAACAGTGCAATTATTTATACTTCACAGTGCCTTCCCAGACCTTCCACCTTAGGTTCTGCAAAAAGCAACAGGTAAGCACAACCTAAGGACATATATAAATAAATATTTCAGTACATTATTGTTGTCCCTGTGAGGTTTTTGTGGTTGTGTATTCAAAGGCAATCTGCTACTGCTTCCCCCAAATGTATTTTGTTTTCTATGCTACCATTTTAATGGAAAGTCTGTAAGTTGTTCAAGCAACTGTTTACATTTCTGGGTAATGTTTTTTTTTTTCCTTTAATTTTTTTCTTTATTGAAACAAGAAAGTGATAAGTAGATTACTACTGTAATTGAACTACATCCAAATCTTTTTGTATTTTTCCCAAAAAATACTAGAAATGTTTAAGAAAGGACATTTACATACTTTGTAAGATTTAGGAAATCTCTTGGACAGAAACTTCAACAGCCTTCACAATCTGTTTCTATGATTGACAGTACATTTTCTTTGCCCTCCAAAGCTATGGGTTCTTTATTATTATTACTGTTTTCTTTAACTGTAGTAATCCAGTAAGGACATTATGGGTCAGAGTTTATTATGATTTTTTTCATAGATAATTTCATTTTCATAATTTATATATGCTGAAAAGGCAAAAAAAAATGATAAGGAATACTGGCAGTATGTTTTCCTAAAAGGCATGTACATCAGTGAAATGTTAACTGTATAGCAAATAACCTTTCATAATCTGTGTAGCAATCAATTTTTTTCTGTTTTATAATATTTTAATAACTGCCGCATTTAATTTTTGCCAGTTTAAAATGTTTGTGTTTTATAGATTTTAACTGATACATATTTTGAGTTAAGATGAATGTATTAAAGCAGCATCTTACCAGTTTTGTTTATTCAATTTCAAAAATGTGCTGATCCTTTTTAAAACTCCTGCTTATCTCTACAACAAAGAAAAATATTCAAAAATACTGCCTTCATTTTCACACACAGTGCTGAAGATGCTGCAAGCACCAAATCATAGCTCATAAAATCAGGTCCTGAGATAGTTACCCATAAAGAGGAATCCTTTGAGTGTATGCCATTGGTGAGCCGATGAGCATGGACCATAGAAGGGCTCAATGTAGAAGGTAAAATTGGCAAATCATAATTGAGAAATATGAAATGTATTCCCTACATAATATGGTATAGGGTGTAATGTACCTGCTTTTGATCACTTTTGATTTTAAAGTGCTATTCACTTGATTTTAAATGTTCCATGAACGTTTGTTAAATTTCTTTCTTAAGTTACATAGCTACTACACCACATTTATGTGTATGTGTTTTTTAATAGTCAATGATAGGTATGTTAAGATTGATAATATAAAGGGGGCTCTTTGAACCTTAAGAGCCTGTCAAGTTTTGGCTAGTTGTAGACTGCATTTTCATAAAAGAAAATCTAGATTAATGCCAATAGATACTGGGGCATTGTTTCTATCGTGAGAATTTTTTTTATTCATTATCATAAGCCTTCACTGATAGTAAGCATTTTTTAAATTATGCTAATCTTAACCTTGGGGAAAAAAAGGAAAGCAGAAAAGGTGAGCCAGATGATTTAAATGCAGTGGATGTTAGTATTAGAAATGTTTAGTGTAGATTGGAATTGAACTGATTTATTTAGCACTTAAATGAAAATTTGATGATACTTTTTTTTTTTCTATCTTCTTAATGTGGTCATACCTAGAATTCTGTGGGTCAGTGTTTCCATTAGAAATAAATATAGTTTTATTTTTTAATTAATAGAAATCATTTTAATACTAAAACTAGTGATTTGGTATACTAGTTGTTTATAAACATTGTAAAATATATTCTTAAATATCTTAGTTAATTCATAAGGATTGTTTTGGCTAGAAGTGGCATAGTACCATCAGAACGAAATAGGAAATAATCAGAAGTAATAGCATTTGATTTGTTTGAATACTCTGCCAGTAGAACCAATTCTACCTAGAAAGTTATCTGCTGTCTTCAGTAATGATGTAGAATTTGTTAATCAGTGAGACTATTTTTATTTTCTGCAAAACCTGCCTCATTTTAAATACATTTAACAGTATTTGGTTAAAGATCATTTTAATTCTAAAAATAAACTTATTTTTTTGTTTAGTCATTTGATTTTCCTTGCCACAATTTAAAACTTGAGGATTTTTTTTTAATTGGTGCTTTTAAGAAACAAATTCCAGGGTTGTTTTCTTCAGTGATACCCCAATAGAAACTCTTAAATGTACTTGCGCATATATATATATTTTTTCTTATGCATGCTCGGTGCATTTTCGTCCTGAGAAAAGTGTTCTCTACAGAAACTACCCGTGTGTAAAAAGAAGATTGGCTTAAAATGGCTACTGTGATGGGAACAGTGTCTTAGGGAGATGCAGCTTGGACTTGAGGTAAATTGAATACTTTACAAACTGTGGCTTAGAGTTTGCTTTAATGACATTGTATGTAAAAGGGCACATGATTGCTGTAATTTTGTATTCGTTATGGTTTCATCAATAAAAAAATGTACGCTGATGAATATTACAAGAGAGTGCTGTGTTTCTTTTAAGTATAATACTCAATGAAAGGAATATTCCACTTGGAACTTTTTCATTATAGGTTTACTGTGAGAAAATAATTGGGTTTTAAAATTGATAGTGTAAACATCCGATTGTACATAACTTTAAAATACAGAAAGACCTTTTTAAATACAGAAGTTACTTTATTATAGGTTTACACTGTAAAATAAAATTGTCTTCTAGAAAATTAAAATATAAAATGGGAGCTATTTATTTACAAACTCATCTTAAAGACAGATTTTAAGTCAAAATTTCTATTATTTTCTTTTCCTAAATCTAATCATCCTCTTAGGTCTTTTGAAACCTTCAAGTATGTTGAAACTGTTTTGTTCTGCTTGAACTATTAATACAAAGCGTTCTCATTAAAATACCATTTGTTCAGGCAAGAGCACAACATAGATTTGCTTTATAAATTTGATTATATGTTACACACATTTGAAAAATACATGTCTAATATTCTCAACTCTCTGAACACTGTATAGGCAGTGGTTTCTATCAAATTTTCTCTGGCAGTTGTTTCTTAAATTCTCTGCTTTAATTGTTTTTGTTGCCCTTGAAAGGAATGACAGTCTCCCACAATATATCTTCTTCAGAAAGACTGAAATTTTACAACCACCAAAATGATGTACTACCAAGGAAGAAAAGCCCACTCAAAAAATTTAAGTTCCAAATTCATTGCCTTAAAAAACTTATAAATGGCATTATTTCATGCACAATAATGTATTCTCCTTTTTTTAATAAACATTGCCATAAATTCCTGTGGGGAAACACACAGCTTTCGTAGTAGTTCTGATAGAGTAACTGAGTAGATTTCTCACCCACCCTACCCCAAGTTAAATACACTTTATTGACTACTACTGTATAATATGGCAGTAAATCTAGGGCTAATTTGGGGCAAAAAATTAAGGTATTCTTCAGATGAGTTTGTGTTTTGAAGACTGTTATGAAAAGAAATAATAAAGTCAGCATAGTGGCACTTCTGGTTTCCTTTTTGGCCCCGCCACAGATAAGATGATTGTAGTAAGAAATTGGAGAAAGAGAAAGTTCCAGGAGGGAGGAGAGAACTAGTAGTCATCAGCTAAAAGAGAAGAAGAAGAAAAGTGATACTTTTTTTTTTTTTTTTTTTTAAGAAAAAAACTCATCAGTACAAAAAAAGGTTAAAAGAGAAATTAGTTCTTACTTTCAATGGTAAGAATACAGGTACTAGCTGCAGAGCCTTTATTATTGACTGCTTTACACATATACTCGCCTCCATCTTCTGGGAAAGTTTCTGGTAAGTAAAGACAGTAAGTTTCTCCTCTTTCAATATATTGATAGTCTTCTCCATCCTGTAGTATTTCTCCTTCAAACCACCACGTAATTTCTGGTTTGGGTTCTCCCGTTACTTTGACAGTAAATCTAACTGGCTCACTGTCTACAACTGATGTGTTTTTTAGAGGCTTCTTGAACCATGGAGCTCCTGTTCTGGTTTGTTCTTCATCTTCAATAGTGGAGCCATTCATGATACTACCTTCTTCCTCCTCCTCCTCTTCTCTCTTCTGTGTTAAAAAAAATAATGCGTTCAGTTTGGCATTTATAATGCAGTATTTAGGGCAGTGGTTTTAGGAATAGAATTTAAACAGTATTGTGAGGTAAAGAACATAACATGCATACTACAAAGGATGCAGAACATTTATTTCAGTGACTAAAAATCTACTAGAACAAATATTTTTATCACTCCTTATAAAACTGGTTTGGTTTTTTTGGTGTATGTGTGTGTTTTGTCTGTTCAGGTTTCTTTCTTTCACAAGGGAGGGACAGATACCCTTAACAGGATCTTGCCACAAGACAGCCTTAACCCAGTTTCCCATCAGTGAAAATCACATGGGCACTCTATCCTATTGGGGTTGGGACACACAAGCACACAGATTTGCCTGACATGTTTCTTAAAGTTACCAGGTTCAGTACCAGAGCTATGCAGTCAGCCACATGGGGTCCAGCTCTTTTAGACCTTGGGGCTGATCTGTAAAGATTTTTTTTTTTTTAAAGAGATTTTTGCTATGGGGCATATGTACACAGGAGAGAAAAAGTGAGAAATAACCCCCTGAAGGGAATGGCCATGTAGCAATCACCTCTCCATTTTCCTTTCGGGGTCTCAGGCACCACATGTACACAAACCCAATATGAATTTTAAGCCACTGGGTCTAGGCCTTGAACTACTGAGGGAGTCCAGCTACGTAAATCTGCAGGTCCCCTAGAACTGGGCTTTATGGTAGCATCTTTACAAGATATAAGTAAACCTGGTACCTTTTGCAGTGCTGCATCAATTTCCTTTTGCTCAAACTGCATACGTAGTAACTTTTGTTCTTCAATTCTTCTTTGTTCTTCTTCTTCTCTTGCCTTAGCCATTTGTTCAAATCTAGCTTTCATATTCACTTTATGAGTAAATGGAGCCTCACTTTTTTTTGCAGGTTTGACATCAACATTTTCTTCCTTCAAAAAAGGGCCAAGAATAACAATTGTTTCTTTGAAAAAACAGTCACTGAACTGTATGGTGTCACTCTGGGAACAAAACATGTTTGGTATCCCTATTTGTGCTGTACTGCAGGCAGGTTTTCTCTCTACCCAAGTTTTAGATAAGTTATATATATTTTTTAAGAATTATTTTATTGGGCTGGCAGGTGGCATGGTGGCTAAGGGTGCTGAATTCCTACATGTCTAACCCGTGGTTTGAGTCTCAGACCTGGTGGTTTGCTTTCTCACTTTCTCTCCCTTCCTTCCTCTCTCCCTCTCCAGTCAAATTGAAATAAATGAGTAAATAAAGTTAAATAAAATTATTTTTTAAAAAAATATTTTGTTTTATCATAACTATTTTTATTTAAATTTACTTACTTAACCAGAGAGGGACAGAGCGAGAGAGAGAGGGAAAGTGAGAAAGCAAGCCACCAAATCTGGAACTCAGAACTGTAGTCAACTATGAGTCCAGTGCCTTAACCATACCACCTTCCAGCCCCAGGTTACTTTTTAATTTTTTAAATTTTATTATTTTATTTTAATTTTTTGAAGTTGACCAGAGAGAGAAAAAGAGTGATAAAAGCAAACTGCTGCAAGTTCGGGACACAATCTATGGTCAGCCATGTGGGAGTCCAGCCTCCTTAACCACCATACCACCTCAGGCCCCCAAGTTATATTCTTAAGGCGTTTTCAATTACAATCTTTTATTAAATTATTACTATTATGTATTTTTTTTTCACATAAGTTCATCAGAGACAGAGAGAGGTAAAATGAGAAAGAAGGAACCAGCAGTTGGAGTAATGGCTATGTCACTAGACTCCCATGTAGTCTACCATGGTTGACTGAGTGGCTTAAACTCAGGCTAGGTGCGTGTGCGCCTAACATCCTGAAAAGAGAATGGAGAAGGGATTACAGTGTGACCATCCCCCTGGAGGGTGATTTCTTGCTTTCTGTCTCTGTCTCATTCTGTGGAGCACATGTTCCCTATAACAAAAACCTCCCCCCTCCCAAAAAAAATTAGAGGAAGCCAACTGCTCTAGTACTTGAACTGTATTCAGCCATGTGGGAAATCCAACCACCATGCCACCTGCTGACCCCTCAATTATAGATTATAATTTTTTCTCATAGCACTGGAATCCCAGCCTATTTCGGTGCCAGCAGGTGAAGTGGTGGTTAAGGCACACAAGACTCACACATAGCTGACTGCAGTTCAAGTTCTGGACCCAGCAATTTGAAACTCATGCCAGGCACGTGTGTGTGCACACACAAAATTCTGGGGAATGGATGAAATTGCAGTGTGGCCATCTATTGGGGGAGGGGGGTGGTTTCTTAACTTTCTGTGTCTCTGGCAAGTGCATGTGCCCTATAGCAAAACTCTTTAAGGAGCCGTGGTGGCAGGAGGTGTACATAGTGGATAAGGCTCTGGACTCCCACATGACCAACTGGTTTGAGTCCCAGATGCAACGGCTTGAAACTCGGGTTGGGTGCATATGTGTACATGCCCAAAATCCCAAGAGGAGAATGAAGAAAGGATTGTAGCATGTCCATCCCCCTGGGGGTTGATTTCTTGCTGTTTCCAGTGAGCATATGAGCCCTATTGCAAAAATTTCTCAACAGTAACAAAAAAAAAATTTTAATCTTCAGATTCAAAATTGATCTAGCTATAAAAATGTCTATCTGAAAATATCACTCCATTTTTTGGGTTTCTTTTTTTAAGGTTTTTGCCATAGGCCCTGTGCATGTGCCAGAAACAGGAAAGGTAGGGAACCAGCAGTTAGCGTATTGGCTATGTTGCTGGACTCCCATGTAGTCGACTGCAGTTCAAGTCCCGGACCCGGTGGCTTAAACTCACGCTGGGTGTGTGTGCGTGTGTGCCCAAGATCCCAAGAGGAGAATGGAGGAGAAGGGATTGTGGTGTGGCATCCCCCCTGGGTGGTGATTTCTCGCTTTCTGTCTCTCTGGCAAGCACACGTGCCCTATAGCGAACCCCCCCCCCAAATAAAACAACCACGATCCTTTATCCATTCTCCTGGAATTCTGAACACACATGCACATGGCCCAATATGATTTTTCAAGCCCCATATCCAAGACTCCAAGGTTCCAACCGTGGGCAGTCACATGGGAGTCCAGTGTGCTAACCACCACACCATGGGTATCTCATCTGTACTTAGATTTTTGCTGTTTATTCCATTCTCTTCTAACATCATAATATCATAAATATAAAATCATAATTTGCTTATAGTCACCATAATTTATATAATTTCTTCATTCTTTTTATTCAGTCTTCTCTGAAGGGTCTCCCAACTCCCCATGCTTTTTGTTAGTTGAATATTTAATAAATAATGCATTTTTAGAAGAAAGGTTGAGCCAGCCCATAGCCTGATTGTTAAAGCAGCTGTATCTCACATGGCTAGTTGCACACTTCAAATCCTGGACCTGGCAGCTTGAAAAACATGCCAGGTATGTGTGCCCCAAAGAAGGGGGCACCAGCAAGAGGTGTGGTTAAAGCACTGGACTCCCCCCAAGGCTGACCAGTTAATCCCAAACCCAGCGACTCTCGAAACACACTGGGTGTATGTGTGTGCACCTGTATCCAAAATCCATGAAAGAGAAGGTACTGCTGCATGGCCATCTTCCCCTAGGGAGTAATTTCTCACTTTCCCTCTCGCTGTCTCTAGCAAGCACACGCAGCCTATGGCAAAAACGTTAAAAATCCCAAAGAACGGAGAAATTGAGAAGGGATTATGGTGTGGCCATGCCCCATAGTGGGGGTGTTTTCTCTTTCGCCCTCTTCCTCTCCAGTGAGGGCATCCACACACTCTCTGGCCAAGAAAAAGCCAATGTTATTTCTGTTAAATTCACTATTATTACTGTAACATAGTTATGTTAAATAAAAAAGTAATATACCTCATGAAATTTTTCTGCTTCTCGTTCTTTAATTTCAAGGTCAATTGCTCTCCTCCTAGCTCGTTCTTCTTCTATCTTTTTCTGTATTTCTTTTTCAGACAATTGTCCAATTTTTTCAAATTTGCTTTTTAGATTTTTAGCTTGAATAGAGCCACTTCTTTTTAATTTGATTAATTCTTCATATTCTCTGCTCAATTCAAAGGTTTCACTTTCTTCTTCTTCCTTCAAAAGTAATTTTTTAATCATCAAATTAGTTTATATACTAAATCATCCAGAAAGTGTGCACCATTTCTATTTGTAACCAAAAATAATAAAGCTTAGACTTTTCCCTAAATACAGTGCCCAAAGTTATTAAAATCTGCTTCAAATTTCTTTAGAAAATATTCCATTTAAAATACCATTTTTGTTAGGAAATATGGCTGAAAACTCTAACATGGTCTGATAACATGCTAAAAATAAAATCTGCATAGCAAGTTTAGTTTCTCTAGGAGTTGTAAAAACTAAGGGAACATGAAGGAATACAATTGAAAGAGCATTGGGTTAAGAGTATATGAGCTCTGGGGACCCGCAGTTAGTGCAATGGCTATGTCGCTGGACTCCCACGTAGTCGACCGCAGTTCGCATCCCAGACCCGGTGGCTTAAACTCATGCAGGGCGCATGTACGTGCGTGCCCAAGATCCTGAGAGGAGAATGTAGGAGAAGGGATTGCTGCATGGCCAACCCGGCTGGGGGTGATTTCTCCCTTTCTGTGTCTCTGTCTCTCTGTCTTTCTAGCAAGCGCACATGCCCTATAGCAAAAACCTCTCAAAAAAAGAAAAAAAAAGTCAGCTGACAGGAGTAGTTATAGCAGACTAGAAAGTATACATAAATATGCCAAGGCCAGTTCAAAATAAGTGCCTCATAAGACTATGTTGAGTATCCTTTATTGTAAAATATTTACAAGGTTGCTGCAAGATAATATAAGTAAAATACTTAGCTTACTAGTGGAATATAAATGGATATTTTTAACAATCTTACCTCTCCCATTTCTTGTCTCTGTTGTTCAAATTCCTGTTTCTCCATTTCTAGTTTATGTTTCCGTTCCTCCTCTGTTCGTCGTTTTTCTTCTTCCATTTTTTGTCTTAATAATTCTTCAAAGTTAATTTCCAGTTTTCCAGGTGTGAGAGATTCTTGAGAAATTGTTTTATACATCCCTGAGGAGTCATCATCTACTACCTATTTAAAATAATTATTTTATCATTCTTGCCAAAATTACACATACTAAAAGGGAATATTTCTTATACAAACTAGGATTACTTGAATAGAAAGCTTTCATATGGAACTAACTAAAAACCAGAAGACCTAAATTTTATTCTTAAGTATAAAACAATGAACATGAGAAGAATTAATTAAAAATGTAAGACTGAAGGACCAGTAGGTGGCATCATGATTAAGGTGCTGGATCCCACATAGCTGACTCTGCGTGCGTGCCTAAAATCCCAGGAGGAGAAGGGATTGCAGTGGTGGCTATCCCCCCAGGGAATGATTCCTCACTTTCCCTCTCTCTGTCTGTCTCTCTTTCTCTCCTGTGAGCACAAGAAGCCTATGGCAAAAAAATAAAATAGGGCCAGGAGGTAGCTTGGTGGTTAAGGCACTGGACTCCCACATGGGCAACCGTGGTTTGATTCCAAAACCTGGTGGCTTGCTTTCTCACTTTCCTTCCCTCTCTCTCTCTCTCGCTCACTCTTTCTCTTTCGTGAGCATGCATGCCCTGTAACAAATTAAGAGAGAATGATAAATAAATTTTTTTAATTCGAAATTTTCATAATAAAAATGAAGGACTAAGTTATTTGGAGGAAATCACTCAGTAATTATGGAGGGAATGGTATTCATCCCTTCTTCATTCCAATAAACAAAAAATATTTTGGCATATTTATAGTCTATTATACATATTTATACTATTAGGTCATCAGGAAAGTCATGATGTATTTTTCTTTTCTTCTATGCAAACTGCATCATGACTTTCCTGATGACCCAATATTTATATTATGAATAATTTGAATTAGATGTTAAGATTTTCTAATAGTAAGAATATTTATTTTATTTATTTATTTTTTTTGTAGAGGTTTTTGCTATAGGGCACGTGCGCTCCCCAGACAGACAGAGAGAGACAGAGAGACAGAAAGCGAGAAATCACCCCCCTAGGGGGGATGGCCACGCCGCAATCCCTTCTCCTCCATTCTCCTCTCGGGATCTTGGGCACTCACACTCCAGCATGAGTTTAAGCCATCGGGTCCGGGACTCGAACCGCAGTTGACTACGTGGGAGTCCAGCAACCCATAGCCATTATGCTAACTGCTGGTCCCATAGTAAAAATATTTTAAGGTCAGCCTCATGGCCTAGTGGTTAAAGGGGCTGAATCCCTCATGACTTACTACAGTATGAATCCTGGCTCTGGTGGCTTGACATTAAAATGGTATAGGAAGTATGACCCTGTGAAAGAGCATTTGAAAGTTAAATAATTGTGATTAAAGACTGTGACCATTTAGATGCAAGGAGACTTCAAAAAGTTCGTGGAGGGAACAGTGGGGTGACATGGTGATAAGGTGCCAGATCTCTCATGACCTACTCCACTGTTCGAGTCCAGTACTTCATGGCTTGAAAAATATGCCAGGTGGGGGACCAGCAGGTGGCGTGGTGGTTAAGGGCGCTGGACTCTCACATGGTCGATCACAGTTCAAGTCCTGGACCTGGTAGCTTGCTTTCTCACTC